AACTTAATTACTCAGGGGATGACAGGAATTGGGAGCAGGGCAGAGTGGGAGCAGGAAGTATGTGGGGGCCTCTCTCAATGACTTATGAGCCTGTCCTTCAGGGAAAGGCTGTGTGTGTCACTCCCAGGGGACCCCAGACTTATCAGGCCTCCTGGATCTAAGTGACCAAGTGCGGAGGAATGGGAAGAGAAAGCAGAACCGAGGGTGACAAAGACATCAGGTGTGTGTGTCACTTCCTCCTGTGGTTCCTGTGTGGCCCCAGAACATCCACACAAAGGAGCTGATCCAGTAACTGCTGTCCCCACATCCCCGTCGGGGTCCTCGCTGGTACACACTCGAGCCTCTCTGCTCCTACACACCAGGAAAACTGCCAATAATTGAAATTCAGGAGGCAGCCTGGTTTGGCCACTGGAGATAGTGGATTAAGAAGCAAATGCACCAACAGGCTCGCCGTGGCTCCATCTCGCCTCCTTCCTCAGTTTCCTTCTCTGTGAACCAACCGGTAAGCTGACCAGGCAGCAGTGTCTGGCTGGTGGGGAGAAGGTCAACTTGCTAATAAGGCTGAGGTCAGAAGTCGGGCCTCAAGTAAGTTCAGTTCCCTTGGCTTGGTTCTCAGGTCACAGACAGGCCCCCCAAATCCTGCCACTTGGTCATAAAAGGAAGTGGCCAGAGCGTAGACAGAGCCAAACAAATCCATCACCACTGGTGAAAACAGCCAATCAGGTGAATGGTGACGGAGGGTGATTCAGTAGCATCTTTGATTTGAAAGACACCACATCAGAAATGACCTCATGGCACCTAATCAGTTCCAGAAAGGGACTTTGTTCTCGGGGAGGCAAGGTGGGAGATCAAAGCATTTCTTGCCAATCATCATTTAGCATTAATTACTTAGGTAACCTGAGCCAGGCCCAGTACCGCTCCCTGCCTCGTATCCTGACAGCCTCACTGAGCACCCTTGATCTTTCAACCCAACCTGCATCAAATTGGGAGGAAGCCGACTGCAAACCTGGGAATCCAGAGACCTGGGCGGCCCAGGCAGTCAGTCGTTTACTTACTTCTTCCTTTCCTGTTAACTTTTTAACCCCACCAGCCAGGAAATGCATAAATACAGCAGCCTGCCCCCCTCCCCCTTCCCTCTACCACATTTCATTGAGTTCCTCAGGCGCAGGGACAAATCTGGGGAGGAACGCCTTAGATTCATAAGCTATGTGGCCCCAGGCTTACCAGCGCACCTCTCTGAGCCCCCGGTTTCAACTGCATCATGAAGATAATACTGTCCCCATCCCAGCCTCGTTTGAAGAATTAAATAAGATCTAGAAACTGTTGCATACACAGAGGAGGAATACCCAGGGGGGTTGGCTATACTGGCAATAATTTATTTCTAGAGCTGGGGGAGGGGAGTCATGGCAGTCATTGTTATGTTATTTATTCCTTATCGTGACTCTGAAATAAGTTATAATACATGTTATGGGCTAAATTGTGTTTTCCCCAAATCCATATATTGAAGTCTTAACCCCCAGCACCTCAGAATGTGACTGTATTTGGAGATAGATCTTTAAAGAGGTAACTGAGTTAAAACAGGGTCGTTAGGGTGGGCCCTAATTCAGTGTGACTGGTGTCTTTATTAGAGGAGGTTAGGACACACACGAAGGGAAGACCGTGTGAAGACACAGAGAGACAACAGCCATCGCCAAGCCAAGGAGAGGGTCCTCAGAAGAAATACGTCCTGCCAACTGACGCCTTGATCTCAGACTTCTAGCCTTAGCACAGTGAAAAACTTAGTTTTCTGTCCTTTAAGCCACCCAGTCTGTGGGACTTTGGTATGGCAGCCCTTGCAAACTCATACAATAAACTTCAAGTAATTTACAGGAAAACAAACTAAGGAGAAAAAGACAGTGCTAGCAAGGCTATAATCAAAAAGGCAAACAACAGGTGTCGGCGAAGATGTGGAGAAACTGGAACTCTTGTAACTGCTAATGGGAACAGAAAATGCTGCAGCTACTCTGGGAAACAGCCTGGCAGTTCCTCAGAAACTTTAACATAGAGTTACTGTCAATTGCAGCCCTAGGTTTCTACCCAAGAGAAACTGAAACATATGTTCACATAAAAACCTGTACCCGATGTTCGTTGTAGCATCATTCACAACAGCCAAAAGGCAGAAAACAGCCCAAATGTCCACAAGCAGATGAACGGACAGACTGTGGTCCATCCACACAACAGAGGATTATTCAGCCCTTAAAGGAAAGAGGTACCGACACACGCTACGAAATCTATCTTCAACAGACATGAAGTTTAGAACAGTAAGCCAAGTGAAAGAAGTCAGTCACAAAGGGACGTGTATTGTACGATTCTGTTTATAAGAAATGTCCAGAATAGGCAAATCCACAGAGACAGAAAGTTTCTAGGGACGGGGGTGGGGTGTGTAGGGGCGGGGGGATTGGGAACTGCCTGCTGATGTGGTTTCCTTTAGGGGGTATGAAAATGCCCTAAAATTAGATTGTGGTGGTGGTTGCACAACTCTGAAATTTTCAATATACTAAAAGCATTTAATTTTACACTTTAAATCGGAGAACTGTATAGTGAGTTGTATTTGTTTTATTAAAAAGGTGTTTAAAAAAAAAAAAGACTAGCACCCCACAAGAGCTGGTAAATGCCAAAGGCTCTTATTTCTCCCTCTCCCCCCACCTAATCCCAACCAACCTGCCCAAGGGCTCCCAGGTCGCCCACCAGTGCTGACACGGCCACGCTGAACTTGTGTACAGACCAGTGCCGACAGACCAGGCCTCCCTGGGAATCTTTAGACGCCAGCTTCCTGTTTCCAGGCCTTCGGAGAAAAGGGGGCAAAGAATGCCTGGACGCCCCCTGAGGGGTGGGCTGAGGGTCTCAGGCATGGCAGACAGGGCACACTGTGGTCCTCAAGTGATTTCCTCCAGAAAGGCTCATTTGGACCCCTCCCTTAATTCTGAGATTACGGAGAGTAGTGGCAAGTTTGTTGTTTTAAAAGCCCATGTTCTACAAACCCTAATCCCTCGCATGGAACAATCCCTCAGCCAGGAGGGAAGCAGGCAGCAAGGCGAAGCCACGGTTTCCTCTACAGGGTGAGAGCAGCTGGGGGCCTGGCTGGGCTGATTCAGGATGTAGGCCCGCAAGCACGGTTTGTGGTCTGATAAATGGCATTTATAGTTATTGCCTATGTAGGGGGAAGACAACTCTCAAACCCTACACCCTTCCACAGATAGGGGAGCTAAAGGCAGACGATGTGGAGGCAAATCCTTTTTACTCCTATAGACACCTTGGTTCCCACGAAGCTTCAAACAGAATTAGAATTCAGTACCCACAAGCAACAGGTGCCCCTTTCCCATCAGTGATTCCACATTTAGGAATGTACTCAAAGAAGACAATCAAACAAAGGTGAAACGAAAAACCAAGACAGGCACTGTCCAATAGAAATATGGGAGCCACATACGTCCTTTAAATTTTTTTTTGAAGCCACATTTTAAACAGTAAAAAGAAACAGGTGAAACAAAATATTAACAACCCATTTTGTTTAACTAATATATCCAAAATACTATCATTTCAACTAAGGTTGCCAGATTTAGCAAATAAAATTACAGTATGCCCCATTACATTTCAGATGAAAAAAACAAAACCTCTTTTTTTAGCATAAGTATATCCCGTGTCATACATGGGATATACTTATGCTAAAAAAAATGTATCCACTATTTATCTGAAATTCAAATTTAAATGGGCTTCCTTTTTAAAATCTGGCAACTCTCATTCCAACATGCTATCAATATGAAAAGTAAATTAAATTGCTTTTTACATGGTTCTCTCCTGCACTAAGTCTTTGAGATCTGCTGTGTGTATTACACTGAAGGCACATCTCACTCTGGACCCTCTATAGTTCAAGTCCTCAGGGGCCACATCTGGCTAGTGGCTACCTGTATGGACAGCACAGACCTAGAAGGTTCTTCTCAGTGTTTTTTATAACACCAAAAAAAAAAAACCCTCAGAAATTGGCAAAATACCCATCAATGGGGAGGCTGTTTAGGTTACAACTAACATTTAGAGACCACTTACTACAGGTCAGCCTCATCCTACGGACCCACATGCATCATCTCCTTGAGTCCTCATAATGACCGTTTGAAGCAAGTACTGCTATAACCCCTTTTTACAAACGAGGAAAGTAAGGTTCTGGGAGCTTAGGTAACTTGCTCAAAATAGTCATGAAGCTGAGACAGAATGACGGTAGATAGAAGGGTTGATATATAGCCCACCCTTGACACACCAAAATGTTACTGGTTTTCTCTGGACAGTGGACTTCGGGGTGGACACTGGCTGAAAGTTTGCTCTCTGCTGTCACAGACTGATCTCTGCATCCCCGACTCTGCCAAGTACTCTAACAAGTGACTTCACCTTTTTTTTAAGCCTCAGTTTCCTCATCTGTAAAACAAATCGTAAGTGTCTATCCCACAGGATTTCTGGAGCCTGAATAAGACAGATGTAGGGGACCAGGCAGAGCAACCCGCCCCTGGTAAGTCCTCAGGGACGTCACTCCTACTACCCCTAGTGTCTTTGTCCTTCCCTGTTTGATTAGATGTTTCATGGTGAGCATCAAATCAATTTAGAAAGAGAAAAAAGTAACTTTCAAAAGAGGAGAAAACAGCCCACAAAGCCGCCGGAGGAAGAAGGGAAGTAAGGAAGGACAGAAGAAAGGAGAGAGGGGAGGAAAGGATGAAACTTCACCTAATGCAGGAAAGGTGAGGCATCACTTCCCCAGTTTTCTGAGTGACCAGCAGGGGGCACTGCCTGCAGTTTCCACACCTAGGGGAAGTGGTCCCGTTTTAAAAACAAAAACTTGCAAATCATGAAAACTATTCATCTTAACTGGCGGGCCCTCTCCCAGGAATCCTCCCTGAAAAGCTGCAGACATGCATCTGACAGGAGATGTGAAAAGGCGGTGGATATGGTCTCCCAGCCACAGGCAATCTGCATCTTACCTTTGGAGTCTTCTTTGGCCAAGTGACTACAGGGACCCCAGTGATGGCCAGACTGGGGTCGTCGTCCGCGTGCTCCTTCAAGACATTCTGTAGCCAAACAAAGGAGTCATATTAGCCCACAGTAGAGGGGATGTCTCTCAAGGGGGCTGGAGGCCAGACTTAACCCAGCGAAAGGCTGGGAGCTCTCTGCAGAGTCAATGCCTGCCCCCTCCAACTAACCCACACGCTCAACAGAAACCAAGTCATCAGGGTTCCCCAGGGTCTGCAAAACACACAACATCCCCGCCTACAAAAATAGTTTTTAAAAGCCAATCACACCCCTCCCTACCACTTCCCTGAATGGACTGCTCACTCATACTTACGACACCAAACACCTGTCCGGAGCACCACAGACTCTCACGGACACAACCTTATTTAATCTTCACCAAGTCCCCAGGGAGGCGGCTGGGCTGTGGCCCTACAGATACATGCTAATGTACACAAATTCAACTATGTACTCAGAGAAACAAACACCCAAAACCAATTCTTGACTCCTGCACGCCCTGACTCTGTTCTTCCATCATCAGCAAGCCGTATGTATTCTTACCCTGGTGTGTAAAGACGTGTCATTGTTTTTGCATCGTAGGCCCTGAACACAAGCAGACACTCAATCTGGTTTGACCAAGCATGGAGTCGACTGGCCAGATGAAGGCAGAAAGATAGGCTTTGATGGGCATACTGCCAGGCTGTGTGAGGGTCTCTCATACGGCACTGTGGGTTCACTCCTTTGTGGGTGTTTGAAGGCTAATTCTGACTCTACCAGATTTTGGCCTTGTGTGCAGAGAACTTTAGAACCTCATCAACGTGTCAGATGCCACTCGACTGAACTACCCCTAACTTACAGGTGAGGCAACCAAGGCTCAGAAAGGCTCAAAGACCTTGGATGCCGGCCCCAGACCAAGAGGGCAGAGCCTGAACCCTGCTCTCTGGCACCAGACCTCCTGCCCCATGACTGTGTTACCCATGGGTTTTTTGGCTGCATCCACAGTGTGACATTAAAAAAATTTTTTAGGGATGGACAGAGATCCGTTACTGGCTGATACTGACCTCAACAATTCAACCATTAATTTTTGGATTGCAGAAAAACATTCCTGCAGAGACATTTCAGAACAGATTATGCAGCTCAGCAGCACTTAATAGGAAGAGCAGAAGAGTTTAAAAGATGAATGTAGGTGAAGACTTTCAGTTTCCCTAAACTACTTCACCAGAAAGAATCCAACTCACTTCTGATTGACTCTCTTTATTGCCCTATTTTTCTGGTCATCATTTGGTTGCCCGATTTTTCAGAATGTGCCTATTTACCTCCAACCCATCGGAAGAACTCCCACCTCTCCCCAGGGGAGGTGGCCAACAGCAGGGTGGTCAAAGGTTTGGAGTCAGGGGCCGCCTGGGTTTAATTCTCAGCATGTACAGCTTTTTCCAGTCCCAGAGTCGATGTCAATGATTTGTAAATGCTGTTTATATAACGTCTTGGTTCACTGCTGTATCCCCAGCCTCACACAATGACTAACCTATGGTAAGCTTCAGTAAATAACATACATACATACATACATAAAGGCAAGCCACAAGGGGCTTTCTACAAAATGCCTGACCTGTACACCTCAAATCTGTCATGGTCGACAAAAACAAATTTTGAGAGACTGTCACAGCCAGGAGGAGAAAGGACAACAGGTAAAAACTGAGGAAATGTAAATAAAGACTCTAGTTAATAATAACATGTCAATGTTGGTTCATTAATCATCACAAATGCACTATATTAATGCAGGATGTTCGCAACAGGGGAAACAGCGTGGCGGGTATATGGAAACTCTCCATATCATCTGCGGAATTTTTCTGAAAATCTAAAACATAAAGTCTATTAATAAAAAAAAATTTTAAGATGCCAATCAGACAGTAGTAACGGTTACAATAAAAGAAAACAGGATTCTTATGGTGCCAATTTTTCCGACACATATGCAGTATATTTAAAAAGAACTACAACAGAAAGGACACAAGCACACAGAAGTGATTCAGCTCAGCTGTGGACTTCCCGTAGCGCGGCGACCAAAGGCTGGGGGCAGTGGGAACCACCGTGTCTGGGAGGCGGGGTTTGGCACCACCCACACTGCTTACAATTGCCAGTTCCTGAGAGCAGATAAAGCTGAACGGTTGAGCATGTACTTAGCATACTGGAAGCCCTGGCTCAACCCCTAGTCCCTCCATTAAAAAAAAATTAAACTAAAAAACTTAATTACCACCCACCCCAAAAAAGACTGATTAAAAAATTAATTAATTAATTAATTATTTTATTTTAAATTTAAAAGTAGAATGGACAGTTCCTGATGATAAAAAGCAAACCCATTTTTCATCATTTTCATTTAATTGTTTTTACATGCACTGCAGACATTGTACCCCTTAGAACTCGCACCTGAGTGAGTCATTTCCACAGCCCTCTCCCCATTTGGTCCACCACTCAGGGTAGATGGGACTGACTAGGTGTGGGGTAACTAAACGTCAGGAGTGCGGGCACCACGCGTTCTGTTGAACCAATGTATGAGAGTAAGACATATTGAGCGCTTGCTCTGTGCCGGACACCGTAATGTTAATAATGTACCAATATTAATTATGAACCAATGTTAATATTCCATATCCACTCTCTCATCTAATCCTCTTACCACCCTATGGAGTGAACTATCATTTCCACGGTACAGATGAGAGATCAGAGCTTGGGGGTAAAAGGAACAGTCCAAGACCACCAGAGCTTGGGGGAACAGTCTAAAAGGACAAGTACTGTGTGATTCCACTTTGTATGTGGTACCTAAAAGAATAAATTCATGCCCGCACAAAACAGAAGCGCGGCTTCCAGGGGCTGGGGGAGGGGAGTTCGTGTTTCATGGATACAGAGTTTTAGTTTGGAAAGATGATAAAGTTCTGGAGATGGATGGTGGTGATGGCTGCACAACAATGTAAATGTCTTAATGCCACCGAACTGTACACTTAAAAATGATAAATTTTATATTATGTACATTTTACCACAATTTTAAAAAAGCAGAGGATGGAGTAGGGCAAAGCAATCCCTCCCTCGGGGATAGATTCAGAGGTTCTAGAAAGCTCAGGCTGGGGACACAGTACCTCACTAGCTAAACTTCTGCCGTTACTCCTGGGGCAACACTAGCTCTAGAGCCAGAAGACCTGGGTTCGGGTTTGGAGCTCGCAAACTGTGTGGGTGGGTAAGCCGCTTCGTCCGAGCGCGCCGCCTAGGGGTAGAACGGTGACATCTACACCCTGATTACATGCGGGGAAGCTGGATGTGATTTTACAAAGTTCTCAGGAGCATTTGTACCGCGTGTGCTCTGGACGTTAAAATAACCCTATCTGTGGGGGAGGGCTGGTTCTTCCCATTTCACAAAAGCAGACAGTAAGGTTCTGAGAGGTTCAGTGGCATAGTTCAAGGTCACACGGCCAGGAGGTGGTGGAACCTGGCATTGACCCAGTCCACCTGACTACAAGCCTGAGGAGTAACACTGAGTGAATAAAGCCTCAGGAAACCAGGCCAGCAACCTTGGGAGCTGATTTCTACCCCGTTATTGAAAAATAAGAGACAATCTGGGCTCAGTTACCAGTTGACCAACAGATACAGAAGTGAACCATCCTCACCTGTTCTTGCAAATAAGAGGCAGAATTCGGCCACAGACTCCTTCATGAATCCTTTTCTCAAACTTTCCCCCAGTCACAGAAGAGGCACACATGACCCCAGTGGGCCTGCCTAAACACAGCATTTTGTTGACATTTCATGGTTCTTAATAACCTGCATGAATTTCACACCTTCCTCCACAAAACATCAGGGTTTGTTTTTTCTAAAAATAATGTTTCCTACCCCCTCAAAACAATCTTTTTTTTTAAAAAAAAAAAGGCTTTTCAAGAAGCTGCTCCATGTTTCTCCAAAGCTTTTATATACATATACATATACATATACACATATAAACATACACACACACACACACACACATATCTACACATACATATCTCACCATACGGTTGGGGAGCAGGGGACTTCCAGAGGATTTTCTGCCCCCTTATCTCTAGCTAAGGGGTGACATACTCAAAGGCCTCCAAGAACCAAGCAAGTAAAGTGAAACATACAAAGAGTCTAGAGCAATAGAGTGAGTGGTGAGGCCAAACTAGAGACCACACGCCCCGTTTAAAGAGGGCAAGTGCCACGCAGTTTCAACCCAGTGACCTCCCAGGGGAATGAAAGCCCCAGCAGAGCTCAGATGTTTCAGAAGAAATCCAAGATCCAGAGTCTTATTTGAAATCTCTCCAATTTCAAATGTTGGCAACCAATGGAAATGTAAAAACAAAAAGCACTGTGAGCTAAATATACCTGTGGGCCGGTTCGGGCCACGGGTGACCAGTTTACAAACGCTGCTCCACATGTGACTGAAAATAATGCCCATTCGCCTTGGTTTGCTTTGAGTTTCCTTATGAATTGTCTCAAGATTTCCTGTCATTTAAACATCAGAGCTGGAGTCAGTAACTCACAAGAATTGAGGTGAGGCCTCTTTACAGGAAAAGTCTGGTTACAAAAGCTACTACTGAAGGTATAAGTATTATTAATAATTAATACATAATGATAGATAATAATTAAAATTAATAGGGACCTCCCCAAGCATCCCTGATCTCACACACACTTCCTGAAGGACGCAGAGCTCCTCTCCCTATGTGGCCGTCAGTGGCCACCAGGGGGCGCTCTGGGCTCTGTCCCTCAGGGAGGTACTTTCATTTGTATGTGACAGGCTGCGGGCAGAGATTATTCTAATTGGAGATTTTCTCTCTGAGAAATAAATTGTGCTGAGGGGAATCATGTCACTGGCTTCCCTGGGCTCTGCCAGAATTTACACACTCCCTGGGGCTCCTGGAAGCAGAGACTAGGAAACTGCCTGTACCAGCCCAGCGTTCTTCGGAGTACACCCTCCAAGCCTTCTGAGTAGGGAAGCCCAGGGCAGGCTTTCTACATGAGAAAGACTGGGGCCGCCAGGCCCTTTCTGCGGGAAGCTGCCCTGCTTTTGACCTAACAAGATAACCACAGACAATGGATGCGCTGGGCCTCTGCTCCCCCTTACACCGGATTCTCTCAAACAGCTTAATTAGTTAACAAAGGGTTCAGGGCCCACTGCTCCCCAGGATGGGGCGTTAATACTCAGAAACTCCATCTATAACTGGGACTAAAAATACCAACACTGTGCCAATCAAGCAGAGGCATCAGGAAAGAGTCACCAAGCACAGCCCGTAGAGGGGGAGTAACCCGCATGGAGCGGCTCCGGCCGGGGACCCAGCAGTCTCTCAGGAGGGTCCCTCCCACCTGCGTCAACGCACCTTGGGTCTCTACTCCAGCCCAGCCACCTTGTGCCTGCCCATAAAAACCTATCTGTACTGGGATGAATTTTGTTTGTCAAAAAGATATGCTCAAGTCCTGGTACCTGTGAATATGACCTTACTTAGATTTTTCCAGGTCTTTGCACATGTAATTAACTAAGGATCTTGAGATGAAATAATCCTGGATTTAGAGGAGGGCCCTAAATCCAATGACTGGTGTCTTTGTAAGAGAAAAGAGAGGGGGATTTGAACAGAGACACAAAGAAGAAGGCCATGGGAAGACAGAAGCAGAGACTGGAGTGAGCCCTCAAGCCAAAGAACACCAGAAACCACGAGAAGCTGGAAGAGCAAGGAAGCTGCCTCCCCTAGGGCCTTCCCAGGAGGCACAGTCCCGCCAACACCTTGATTTCCAACTTCTGGCCTCTGGAATAGAGAATAAGTTAGAGAATAAATTTCTGTTGTTTGGGGCCACCTAGTTTGTGGTCATTCATCATGGCAACTACGGGAAACTCACACACCACACCTGCCACAGTGCATCATGGTTAAAAACTTATTAGCTGCATGATTTGGGCAAGTCACCAGATTTCTGCATCTCAGTTTCCCATCTAAGAAATGGGATAATAGTAGTCCCCACTTTGCCAAGGTGTGATGAGGATCATAATGCTCGGAAGGTATTTGGTACATGGAAAATGCTCAACAAATGTTAGCCAATCCCTTTTGGCTTATGCCATATTTCTCATTGGGATACACTGTCCCCATCTCTGTATGCAGAATTCTAAGCACAGGGGAAATTGTTAAAGTTTATTTAGTTGGAAAGGCAGTTTAACACCTGATTTAGCTGCATAATTAAAATTAGTGGCGATTAAAATGTGATTCAGGGTGGGAAAAAAGTGCGACTCAGGGACCCAGAAGTTAATTTTAGGCCAAAAAGAACCCTGAATAGCATGGATCAGCTCATCCATTTTTCAGGTCTAGGGTTTGCACAGGCATCTAGAACTCAGATCTCAGGCCCCTCATTGTTCTCCTTTGCTCTCCTGAGGCGGTACCAGCAGCCAACTCAGAATACACACGGCTTGTTTTGCGATCACATTGGGAGTTCCTCATTTGAGAGGCCCATCTCATTCATCCCTGTATCAACTCTCTATCTCTCACAGCCCAGCAAAAACACCAAACTCAGGGCTCGGTATTACACACAGCCTCCAGAAGAAGAGCCTCAGCAATTACTGGAGGCCTGACTCCACCCCTGGCCGGGCTGAATGTGGTTGTGCCGTTTTCTGTGCTCTGGGTCATCTTCAGGGTGTGAGCAAGGCCAGGCTGCAGCCCTCCCACTGGATTCCCGCCTTTTGGCTCCTCTGAAGCAGGTGGGTGTGATGATTCTAAAAAGAGCTGCAAGTCTGGGCTCTACACCTCACTGCTTTACAAAACAGCCACACCCAGGAGGGGCAACTTCGATGAGCAGGTGTGTTCCAGGGTCGGAATTTGATGACCCCCAAGAGAGGAAAGCTGTACACATCATCCTTTCATGGTCATGGGGTGTCAGAGGCTCTCATGCTTGACCCTAAATGGGCCTGTTTTCACTCCACGGTGTCTGAAATGATAATATTAATACCAGCTCCAGCTCACTGAGCACTTAACGCCCTCTGCTAAGGGCTAAGCCTTGCTAAGTTTGATGAGGCATGATTCTTAATATCCCTCTTTTACTGCATTCCCCCAGAGTATTCAGCTAGTTAATGGATGGCAGGGGATTCAGCCTGACTTCAGAAACTTTAGTCTTAAAAGATAACATCTATTTGGGTGATGAACTCTTAATTTAGAATTATTTTCCTTCTTATTTGGATTTTGATGGAAGAACAATACAGCTGATCTCCTTTTTTGTGTCTAAAAAAAAAAAAGGTAACACCTGAAAGCAATGGCCCCTCAGTGTCTCTGTGCCCCCCACTTCTATGCAATCCCATTATTCTATGCAGTCCCATATCAAAGTAAAAAGGATTTCCACAAGCAAAGAACACCATTTCCTCTTCAGATGAATGAATGTGTTTTTAACTCATTTAAACATTTTTGGAACCCAATGCTATTAGTGATTTTATCATTGATGAAAATATCTTTTTACTTTATAGGAACTTGGAAGGAAAAAGTAGCCACATGAAGGAACACTAAGGTTTCCTTTAGGAAACCCCAAACCCAAAACTGCATGCCACAAGATTTAGGGGTTCTTAATCTAAGGGCCCAGAACAGGCTCAGGAATCCAAGACCCCCTGATACCACACACAAAATTTTGTGTGTATAAGCATATTTTCACAAGATTCTCAAGAGAGATCAGCAACCTCCAAAAAAGTCAAGAATCAATGAAAAAGACCTACTTGTAAGTAAAGATTTGCTATGTAGGGATATTCACCAGAGTTCTTTTACCTGGCAATTTCCCAGAGTTATAAAATTGTAATTCCATGGCACCTACAGGGGATGCACCTGCTTGCTACACAGTGAGATACACCTGGATCAATGAGCCTGCACACCAGCTCCTTCTGCAGTTGGCACCTGCTAGACTTCCTGATTGGGCCCAAGCTCTCACCACCACTAGACCCCAGGAGTTCAGCCCCTGATCACTGAGCACCCCAAAGGGCAGAACAATCTTAATACTTCTATATCCCAGGGCCTGACACAATGTGTCCCAAATGAATAAACGTACAAATGAACTAATTAATAAGTCCTGCATTGAGTTTGCAGTCATCTAAGAAGAGACTTGAATTCAGGTTCCAACCCCAGTGGCAGCTGGATTTACTTTAGGATCAGACACTGGAAAGGGAGCCCAATGTCTCAGAGGCCTCACACCAGACAGCCTCACCAACGCTGAGACAGGAGGTAGCTCCGTGTGGTGGAACCCACACAGGAGCTCTGGAGGCTTAGTCCCAGCCCCACTACCTACCTGCTGTGTTACCTCAGGCATGTCCCTTGACCTCTCTGAGCCTACTTCCTCATCAGTTAAATGCAGATAATAAGAGTACCTATCACTTCCCTGGCACGGGTACCTGGCAGATAGTGAGCTTTCAACAATGTTATAATTAATTACTATAGGACAAGGCCTTCCAGTGTAGTTCCCGTTTCCTAAACACACCTCACGTTTGCACTCTGCCTGTAACAGCCTCCCGCATTTGGAGGATTCTTATGCAGTCTCCAAGGTCCAGCTCAGATTCCCTCTGCATAACTGCCCCAGAGCCCTGGCCCCTGGTGTGGCCAATGAGTGTCCCCTCACCACACTCCCATGTCCTGGAGACACACAGCATGCTCAGTGGCACTCAATTCCCCATCTCCTGATTTCTTCACCTGCCTGCTGCCCTGCTGGACAGTGAACTACCTGAGGGCAGAGACCAGGCCTTCCTACTTTCCATTCCATCAGTGGCCAGCACGGCTCGTGCTCAGTGAGACCTTGCTCAATGACTAGGCTCTACCTGGAGACCTCTGAATCCCAGGCGGCCACGCGGTGCGCCTTAGCTGGCCACTCAGAGGACAACCAGGATGTACAACCTGCTCACATAAAAGAGACGCGTGCTCCAGGGGAGCAGCAAGTCTTCCAGACCAGGATGGAGAAGTCCACCCCCAAACCCAGCGACAGTGCTACTGGTGTAATGAAGGCAGTGACCCCTACTACCCTCCAAGCGTCGGATTTTCAACAAGTCCTGAGAAAGAGTTCAGTGTCAACCACGGAGCCAGCTTCCCCCACAAGATCCCCCTGCAGGTCTCAACCGTGGCCTCTACTTGGACACCCCAGAAGGGCTTGCTTAGACCAGAGGCCCCACTCTGCTCACGGATGGTCTGCACCAGGCCGAGCTGAGCTGCCCTCGGGAGCCTGCATGCTGAACAGAAGCTGCCTGGCCCTCCTCTGCTGCCCAGCCCGAGGCGGCCCCCTGCTCACCTTCACCCCCTCCAGGAGTGCCTGGGGGTCCTCGATGCCCTCGGGGACGCACTTCTTGTTCTCCGGGAGGGATTCAAGTTTCTCCACCAGCGCTTTCAGGCCCTTCAGTTCAAACTCAGTCAGATGGGTCCACTTGGCAGAGACCTCAGTGGCGGGAGAGCCGGTGGGCGTCTTGGGATAGTCTGCGGGCATCGTTGTGGACTTCACACTGTCCTCTGACTCGTTTGACAGAGTCCTTTTGAGGAACCGCATGGCAGGGGCTTTGGGCTTCTTCCCAGGGGCCTCCTGGTCCTCAGAGGGGGTGCTGGTGGGCGAGGCAGGGCCATCGGTGGGTGATTTGGGCGTCTTATCTGCACCCTCCTCCTCTTCCTCCTCTCTCTCTCTCTCTCTCTCTCCTCCTGAGGCTGCTGCTCACAGGACTCCTCCTCCATCTCCAGCCAGGAATCAGATGAGAAGCCGTCTATGCTGGGCTTTCTTGGGGCATCTACAGGGGCAGGGTGGGGGGGTGGGGTCACAAGAAAGACTGAGATGAACGCCCCAAACTCCCTGCTGGAAGTCCCTGGAATCCCCTTTATTCTGCAGATCACGCTTCTTTTGACAATTCTTATGGTGTATATCTCCCTCAGTCTCTAGAAAGGCTGGGGTCAGTCAGACAAGAGCTCGGCTTTTTCCCAGCTGTGTGTACCCAGACAGGTTGCTTCACCTCTCTGAACACATCAGGCACTGTATTTTTCCATGTATAAAAATAAGGCAAAAAGAGCACATATTCTATGATTCCATTCACATGAAATGTCCAGAACAGGAGGAAATCTATAGAGACAGAAAGCAGATTAGTGGTTGCTTAGGGCTGGAGGTATGGGCGTGGGGAGATGGAGGTGGTAACTCAAGGATACAGAGTTCCTTCTGGGATGATGAAAACGTTCTAAAAATTGACTGTGCTGATGTTTGCACGACTCTGGGAATAGACTAAAAACCACTGAATGGTACACATTAAATGGGTGAGTTGTGTGATATGTGAACTATATCCCAAAAATGCTGTTTGAAAAACACAGGCAAAGAATACTTCCCCAAAGGCTGTAGTGAGGATTAAATAAGGCATCACAGGGCCCTCAAGGTAGCACTCGAAAACAAAAACAAAAAAAGGCACATTAGGTGTCTCCCTAACGTTTCCCCTTCTCTTTGGCTGATGGACTAGAGAGGCAGGGGGAAACAGTGGCAAGAAAATTTAATTAAAAAGTGGGCTGAGATTACCCAAACACAGCCTCAAGAGTCCCTTTTGAGCCTGGAATGGAATCAGGAACTTTCTCCTATGGCCCTAAATATCCAAATGAAAGCAGTGATCCTCTGTTTCCTGTCTGCAGACGAACACAAAATCAAGGCCCTGGTTCCCCCAGGAAAGGGTAGCTACCGCAGACACAGAGGTCATCACACTGCTTCAGAATCACTTTCCATCTACCACCTGCTTCAGAAGAGCTGGTTGTAGGGGCTGGTATTTTTCAGTGCCTAAATATCACGTCATTTGACAGGAATGCGACTCACAACAGACCCCCCCCACACCTCCCCCTAGACAGAACCTAATTTCCAGGAGGCGAATGAACATTTCCCATAAAGACTCCAGCAGAAACGTTTGTTCCTGGTCATATGCCAAGCCTGAATCCCCTAAAGTCAAGAGAGGAGTCAAGGGAAGGAAGAGGCTTGCAGTGAGGGAAAAAAATAAGAAAGAATCCAAAAATCTTGGAGATTGCAGGAGAAATTGACTCTAAAAGAGATAGACAGATACATTTTTCTATCCCATGATGAGAGATGCCATGCATGAGGCCCAGCGACTCCAGCATCTGGGAAAACCCCTGAGCAGCAACAGCTCAGAGGCAGAGGGGGAGCACATTCTTCCTACAGATGGTTCTTCGGGGCTGTCACAGCTAGATGCGACTTCAAGGAGGGCGTCTGTGAGTCAAGATTCAAGGACCGAGCCATTCTGGGGTGAGGGGGGCACATCCCTTTAAGTAATGGCAGGAGGGTAGGGCACTGCAGCTGCGGCTATAAACGCTCTCCCCCTCCACCCCCCGCCTCTGTCCAAACCACCCACTGCTCTGCCAAGCTTACATCTCTAGTCCTGGTCATCCCTCCCTCTGGCTTATAGCTGGCCTGGGTTTTGGGGGACTGGCTGCATCTCTTAGGCCTGTTTCTGTATAGATAAAAACCTAACCCTAGTGCAGGAAGAGAAAAATCAGCTGGTGGCCAGAGAGGAATTTAAAAGAACCAGGATTCTTTGCTCTGTGGGGAGCCTGTCTCAGCAGCCATGCCCAAGACTGGCCCCTCCCCACAACTGCTTAGTCAACCAGCAAGACCTGGGGGCCACCAAGATGACTGCCGGGGTCACAGTTTCATTTTCTGGGACTCTGTATTCCAAGTGAGAAGCTGACAAGGAAGGGTCTCTAAGAATCAGCCCAACACTCTGGCTCAAAAGAGTTCCCGGGACCCAGAACTCCCAAAGGCTCCACTGAAAACATTATTTCTGCCCCAGCTGAGTAGTTGAGGCAACCAGGCTCCAAGGCTCACTCACCAATGAGCATTGATTCTCTCTGGTATTCCTGAGTGAGGTGGGACCGCTGGGTCACGCAGTACACGTATCTCTCCAAGACATACCAGCACATCTCATAGTAGAAAGGGTATCGGAATTTGGGCTGCACCTGAAAGCAAAGAGCCAGGGGCAGAGGTCAGTTTCTGGAGGGCAAAGGGGAAAGGAGGGAGAGAATTGCACTGGGTAGCGGGGTGTTCCTGGGGGTGGGAGTTATTTTCATCGTCTTAGCAAGAGCATAAATGGTGTGAGGGAAAAATGGGAGGTGGGCTGGAGAAAGCGCTGCAAGGGACAAGAAACCAGCATGCACAAATGAGGAGGAAGAGCGCGGGAAGAGGTCTACGTGAGAGCGTCATGTGAAAGGTCCCTGAGCTTCGCGCAGGGGAAGCTGTACGGGATCCGCTTTGTGCTTCCGTGAGATGCAGAGACACTGTTGTCCCCTGACCTGCAGATGGAGGGTACGGGTATCTGCGGATACGAGCCCCTGCCTAATTCTAGCTACCGCAGACATGGGCTCCTCACCGTTTTCAAAAATTCTTGAGTAGACTGTTACCCTTCCTTCTCACCTTGAAAAACAGAAACCAAACCCCAAACCTTACCCACTTGCAGAGAGACTGTCAAGCAATCTGCACCCTGTGAGGGAGGTGGCAACAGGCAGACCAATGAGGGTAGAGGGGTGTGGCCTCCTGTCGCCAGGGGCGGGGCCTCAGAAGGGTCCACCTCCTGCTCCTCCCCCACGACACCCGGCACCGCCCAGCCTGGATTTCCACGGAGGATTCCCTCCGACCCAAGTCCCTGGTGTGACCTGGGGCCGCCCTAACACTGAGGGACACATCCCCAGGTCTGGAGCAGGAGTCCAGTTGGAGATCCCCTTCTGGCTGCTTCTTATAGGGAAGCAAGTATAGGTGCAGATAACTTTGTGTCGGAGCTGAAAAAGGCCAGGGGCCCCGGGGGATTCCGATGAGATGGCAGCAAGAGATGGGAAGGAAGCAATACCACCGAAGGCCCTGGAACAGGTGAGCCTTCCAGAAACTGTATCCTGAGTGGGCGAGGGTGGTGGGAGGTGGTCCCTGTCTCCCACTCGGCCCTCTTCTCCAAGGCTCCACATGGCCCAGGTCCACACTCACTCCCGGACTGCTCTTTGTCCGTTCACCAAGGGTGTGTCTGCCTTGAGGGGACTCTGCAGGGGCCAGAGACCCCTCCTCACCTCTCCCGTCCTCCAGAAGCTCAGGGAGTTGGATGTTAAGGAAGTACATTCTCCCACCTGTCTTTGCTGACACCCAGCAGATGGCATGCTACCTCTGTGACAAAGGCCAGTCCACACAGACCTAGGCCCTCCATCTCCCCTAAAATGCTGTTGTCTTGCCCCTTAGTGCCCACCTGGCAAAGGCCCCAACTCTGCCCTCTTGGAGAGTCCCCGCTCCAGTTCCCCATCGCCTTAGGCCCCATTGACTCAGTTCCCAGCTGCGAGGCCCTTTTCCCACACCGGGGGCCCTTCCCTTCTCCCATCTGCGCCCTGGGTCCATTTGATCTCCCTGCCTCTGGTGGATGGTAAGGCTTTGGAATGAGATCCTGGCCGCCGCATGCTTTTGAGCTCCTTGGAGGGATGCATGGAGTTGGAACATCATCAAGCGGTTTCCTTGGCTCCAGCTACTTTCCTGAGAACCCCAGTTTTATTGCTGGGAGAGTACTCATCTTTTTGCAGTCATTGGATCAACGCCCTCCTTTAAAAAGGAGAGAGGCTCTTCAGCCTGAGACAGACCCCCGCCCCCTGTGAAGAGAGGCTGCAGGGTTGGGGGTTCTCAGCCCCACCCCTACTCCACAACAAGGGCGAAGCAATTTTGAAACAAATTGTCAAAACCTACAGAGCGGGCTGAGGGGATAGGCAGGCCCGCTTCTCCTCTGATCCTCACTCACATCTCCTGACTTTAGACTCGATTGGCGAAACTCTGAAATAGCTTTTGACTTTTCAAATTTGGGGAAACTGTCAGAGCCACTCTGCCCCGATGGGCTCCATGGCACCCTGAGACTCTTTCTACATTAGGGGGAAAAAATTTTTTTTTGGCTGTAGTTTAGGAGAGGAAGATATGTCTCCCCTCAGTGTTGCTGAACCCAAGGGAAACCAGCTGGGTGAAAACAAATGCTGATGAAGGAATTCAAATTTTGTCTTTTTTATTTTTATTTTTATTTTTTTTTCCAAGAGAGCACCGCAGGAAACAAAATTTGCAAAGAATTGACTTACAAACGGGTTGTCGCCTTCCACCCTTCGCCTTCAAAAGGTTTCAGCCACATGCCTGGGAACATTAAACACACGATTGCTCAACATTATTTGTTGACAAAGTCGGAGCCTCACCAAATTTGAGTTGTTCACCAAAAGGCAAGGTGGTCAGAAAGCATGCAATGCTCCCAGCCTAGGGGGGTAATCAATCTATCAGCAGGTCTCCAGGGGTCAGTTTGAGTTCCCAAAGGCCCCTTTGGGTGGCACCTGGCCTTAGCCCTTCCTCTTGGAGCTGAGTGACCTCAGGAGATCAAAATCAAAGATGTTTCAGGGGATCTAGGACTCCCAGGTCTCAAGGACTTGAAAAACTAAAATTACAAGGGTGGGTGGAAGTGTCTTAAAATTTGTTTTTCTCCTGGAAAAAAAAAAAAGTCAATGGAAAAAAAAATCCAATGGTAGGGGAAAGGTGAGAGGAAGGGTAAATTATTTGCAATTTCCAAATAGATTCACTGGCTGAGTGGGAATGGGGCGTGCTGGCATTACCTTTCCTGAGAAGGCTGCTTTCACTAGAGCCATTAGGGGAAAAAAAAAAGATAAATATAAGAGAGACGGCAGTTTAATGATCAATTGGACCATTCCTATCCCTTATCAACCTAACTGGAGTTAAAAATATGTAGTTCTAGTTGCTGAGATGTTATCTTCAAATAATAAACATGCAACACATCCATTCTCTGGTGGAGCTCCTCCACCCCTCTGCCTCTCTTTAAAATGAGAGTGGAAAGACGTAATCTACACAAGGGGGTCGGGAAACAAAACCCCACCAGGCCCAGAACTCCTACACCTGTTCGCGCTTGCCTGATGGGCAGCAAGGTGAAGTCACCTATCTCTAGCCCAGAAAAATTAAAATCATGAGAGCAAGACATGCTTCCTAAACATAGGAGAACACTGGGGTTCCCCTGGTCTTGATGGGGAGGTCCCCCTCCTTGGACCACAAAGGCAAATTATTTTTCTAAAACAAACCCACACCATGGGGCTTAGAAACTGACAGTTTCCTCTGTCCCACCCTCTGCATTTGGTTTCCAAGCAAAGCCATGTTTTAGGACTTGAAAAACTATTTTTAAAATGGCCATAACCTTCTTAAGAAAGCTCGCAGGGATGTAAAGAATAAAGCTGCAGCAAGCTGACAAGGAGCCCTGGCGTTTTATCTGGCTTCCAGTGCTCTCTCCCCAGCATCTTTTGTCTGCCTTGGCTCCTAAGACATAAACAATTGGGCCTTGTGGCCAAGCCCTCTCCAAAGACCAGAAATCAAAGCAGATTAAACAGCCTGCCTGCTGCTGGTTCCAGCCCAGCCTGCTCGCTGGCACCCCCCACCCCTCCGCCGCCCATCAACCTGCTTCAGGAAACCAGATGGGGTGCCCACTCAGACAACAGAGACAGTGGGCCTTGGGAGAGGGGGGCTCTGCCGTGCTCAGCTGGATGTGGGCGCAGTATTCACAGCAGCTCAGCGAGGCGCAGGGTTCCGCTCCATTTCCCTCCCTCCCGTCTCCCGCTGAGGGGGGAGGGGAGCTGGGCTCCTAATGGAATGATGGGGCCCAAATCCACTGAGATGTATGATCCAGATTCCCTGGGGGAGGGGGACGGCTGCCAAGATTGTTGCTGAAGCCTTTAGAAATCCCATCCCAACGCCGGCTTTCAGGAATTGCCTGGAAAGTTGTGGGCCTGACTTCTAGAGTTCTCCTTTTCTATCCCACACCTACTCGTCTGTTCACAAACAAACTGGCCCATTCTCCAGGGCTGGCCAAAGAACAGTTGGCCAGAGTCCCAGACAACACTTGACCCAGACTATAAATGACCACTCGCACCCAAATGGCGCCTTTCTCTAGAACACCACGGGGCAACATCCTTCAGACTGGGGCTGGAACTGGCCTCCCCCAGCCCAGGAAAGGAATGGTAGGTTGGCAACTGAAAGGAGAGGCGCGAAAATCCACAAAACAAGACCCAGTCTCTGCAGATCTGGGCATCCCAGCGGCAAACCTGCCCAATCTGAAGATGTGCATTCGCCCTTGTTAACACACCTGCCCAAAGTGGTCCTCAGGAAACCCTTGGACAAGGCCCCTCAGCATCAGGACTATCGAAAAGGTCAGATGCACACACAGTGGCTAAGACTTTGACTCATGTATGTGATTCCATATAGACCAAGGCCTGAAAACAAGACCAAGAAAGGCGGGGAGCCTGGGCACAGAGCATCTGCTTCTGTGAGATGTCTCCTTAGGGCCCGGTGATGGCAACGCCTCTTCTGGGTCCAAAAAGTCACCTCTGAGGCAAAGCCCAAGAAGCCAGGGTGTGGTCTATCCACACAACGGAATATGATTAAGCCACCAACAGGAACGAAGCACTGACAAATGCCACAACGAAAGAAGCCACACACAGAAGGACATGCGTTACACAGTTCCATTTACATAAAATATCCAGAATGGGCAAATCCATAGATCGGTGACTGCCAGAGGCTGGGGGTGGGGGGACCTGGAAGTGACTGCTAATGAGTACAGGGTTTCTTTTTAGGGTGATGAGAATGTCTTAGAATTAGAAATGATGGCTGAATAACATTGTGAATGCGCTATACATGCCACTGAATACACTGTGTGTGCATGGATTATAGCTCAGTTAGAAAAAAGAAAAGAAATACTTGAATAAAAGTAAGAAAAAAATAAGTAGTAGACCCTTTTTGCCCCGTTTCCCACCCCCAGACCTGTCTCAAATGCCTGGGGACATGGGGTCAAGTTCCAGCATGCAAGAGAGGGTGGCATGTACCAAGCAGCCGGTGCTTTTCAGAGGAGACTCATGGAACGGAGCAGAGCAGGGGGCCCACATCAGGTGTCTGAGCCTCAGCCCCCATCCCTGGTTGGGCATGGGGGAGACCTGGTGTCTAAGAAATTGTCCAGGGGAAAGGGCACCCCCCCCAGCCACAAGCAGACACTGAGATGGAGCTCAGAGACAGTACGTGGGGGACTCACAGAAACTGGCTTCCTCGGGGTTCTACATCATGTTAGCGTCCCCAGGGGACACATGGTCAAGACCCGACCTACGTTCCATGGTCTCAGCCCCCTTCGAAACCACAACAATCACTGTGAAACACCCCCGACTCCTTTGCATCCCTTTCTGCATGTGGGAAGAAGGAAGAGGCAGGGTTCCTGATATCTCACGGTGCTTTCTCAAGTGATACTTCCTCTTCACAAGGGGCTTTTGGCTGACACCGGCCTGGAGGTGAACAGAAACTCCCAGGGCTCCGGGTGGGGCTCGGCGGACACCCCCTGCCCTGCTGAACCAGGACCAAGGCCCAGCTAGAGGCAGGGAGCAAGAGGGATGAGGGGAGCAGGAAGGACTTGGGAACCACCTCTCCGCACACCCCGAGCAACAGGCAGAGCTCGGGGGCCGGGCGCGGCCAGGAGGGGAAAGGAAGCCGCCTTACCCGTGTCCTGTCCTCGATCTCGTAGATGCGCAGCTGCATGGGCACGTTGAAGCTGTGCAGGATGTTTCCACCGAAGACCAGAGAGTCTACGGGGGTGTAGACGGCGTGGATCCAGCCTGGGGTGGGGAGGGCACAGACAGGGTCAGCCGCTGGCACCTTTGGGGCCCCTCACTAGGCCTGCAGGCAGGAGGGCATGAGAGGCCAGGGTGAGCACCCAGGGCCAAAGTAAGGATGCTCAGGCTGTCTGATGCAGAAAGCCGAGTTCCTGGCTGGCCTAGAGGACCCAGACCTGCAGCCCCACTGGACTGCTGCAGGCCGTGACCCCTGGCTAGCTCACATAGGTTGGTGGGCGGCTGCAGACCAGCTCCCTTGTCCTGAAGACAGAGCTGGCTACAGCAACCAACAGAAAGGCAAGCCCTATCTCCACCCCTGCTGGCCAGGGAACTGGAAGCCTCGCACTCAGGCTACCCATACATCCTCAAACTTTTTTCTCACCATCCCAGTGACTGTCTGTCTCAGGAAGGGCTCACAAAGGATTGCTCGGGGCTACAACTAAGGAGTGACACTTTGCCAGAGCTGCAGGATGCCTTTCTCTGCCTGAAGCCACCTCCTGCCATCAAAATCCTCCAAGGCTCGTTTCTAGGTGGTCTCCTCAGCCACATGACACCTGCACTCCCACATCAGCTCTGCTTCTGCTCAGCCCTACAGCTGCTGCTGACAAGTCTCTCCTGTTGACTGCAGCTTAACAGCTTGGGGCATGGCTTTTTCATCTCCCTGGGCTCCTAACCCAAAGGCAGGCCCAGCAATCATGAGGAGGATAACTGAGAGCTACCCTGTGCCAGGCACTGGTCTGAGGGCGTTACAGGGCTCATCCATTTAATTCTCACACGGTCCCTAAAAGTACATGCAACATTCATCCCAATGTACAGATGAGAAGACTGAGGCACAGAAAAGTGAAGTCACTTATAATGACTGGAACCCAGGGAGTCGGCCTCCGCTTGGTCCCTGAAGGCTAGAGACCAAGCAAGCCACCTCATTCCCTCAACGAGTAACTAACTAAAACATCTCGGACTGTGGCTCCTGGCTACATAATGGACGGAGCAGAGCTAGGGAACAGGTGGTACTAGAACCCATTCCCATGTGCAGACGCTGAGACCCAGGCTAAGAGAAGGTAAGTCACTTGCTGAATGAAGTCACAGCTGGTAAATGACAGGGCCTCCGTTTTTAACCGCCACGCTGCATCAAAGGCTTAGCACAGGCCTGGGAATCCCAGGAGGCAGGCCTGCCAACACGCAGGGGAGGCAAAAAGAGAAACAAGAAAGATGGAGGCAAAGACAAGGGCAGACAGAGGCAGAGGGACATACAGTGAAAGACAGAAGGTCAGCAGAAGGGAAAGGGGACAGACAGAGGCAACCCAAGATCCTGAGCCCAGGCCCTTGTCCCCCACAGCCCTGAGCCTAATTCATTTGCTTGGAGGAAAATTACAGAGGCCTCCCTGCCCACCCCCAGGCAGAAGCAATTCCAGACTTTCCCCGGTGAGCTGAACACACCAGCCCTGAGTCACAGGCAGCCACGGGTGCCCACGGCTGTCAGGGGCACAGCTGCCTCCTGGGAAGAGAGCTTGGAGGCTGCGTGGCCACTGCTGGCATCCGTGTTGACACTCTGGGCGGCTGGCCCTCCCTGCCTGGGGCGAAAGGTGGAACAGAGCTGGCGGTCCTCGGGGGAGGGCGGGAAAATCCACCAGACAAGAGCTCAGAAACGAAGGCTTACATAACCCGGTTCTGCTGTTTCCTTCCGCATCTCTGGCTCGGGCGCAGCGGAGGGAGCCAGCCGCTCTGCCGGGCAGGTGAGCCCTTGTGGAGTTACCTGGGTGCCTTCCCCGCCGCCTCCCCCGCTCCATGCTGCCTTTAGATCTCACTTTCCACATCTGCTTCAGCCTCTCCGCTGTATACCAGCTGACTTTCTCAACTGTGCAGTTTTTGTTCCTACCCAGCAGAACTACGCTATTATTGCTGTTGTCACCACCACCAGCATTATTTAAGCAACATTTCCTAGGACCGGGACCTAGGACAGCCGGGTTCAGGCAGATGCTCGTGGTAGGGGGAAGCCTGAACGGGGCAAGGAATCTGGGCCCCGCTCCTATGCTCCTCGCATGCCCACCTACCGCCCAGAGGCCTGGGTCTGAGACTGTCCCCAGTGCTGCCTCACCGTGTGGCCTAGGACACTCAACTGCCCCTCTCCTGGCCTCCATGTGCCCGTGAGAAATGAGGGAGACCACTGCTTCCCTCGTGAGCAAGAACCCAATCCGTGTGAGCAACTGCCCTTGACATCCGTGATGGTCTCATCCATCATGAGGGCTTTGGAAAGAATGGTACCCATGTGAATCAGTATTTATCAGCCCTGGACTCTCCCTTCTGGAAATGCAGGTACACCTGACTTACATCTGTTACTCTTATGTGAAAGGTGCCGTTGCAAGCAGAGGGACAGGGAATCTGTACTCCCAGATATTCTCAGCTTCCATCCACTCTCCTCTCCTCCTAAAGCCAGTGCCTCACAGGTGGGTCAGGCAGCCTCGCCTGGATTAGAGTCACTGCCGAGCCCCTTCCACCAGCCACCCTCACATCTGCTCCATCACTAAATGCCTGCCTCTGAAAGAACCAGGGAGTGGAAATAACAGCGTTCATAAGCCCTATCTGAACCCACCCTCCCGATGGCATCTCGTTCACTGCACCCCAGGAAGCACGAGAGAGCAGATGTCCCCAGACTGGTGACTGCGCTGGGGAGGCTGGCATCTGCCTCCTGCTTCCAGGCCAGAGTCTTCATCAGTATGAAGACAATAAGAGACCACTGAGGCCAAGCAGCAAGGGACAGATCCAGTCATGGAAGGAAGGCAGGCGACCCACAAAACCTACTGACAGATGTTCTCTGAAACCTGAGGGGGCCAAGAAGGTCAGCCTGAAGGATGCTGGGCTCCACCATCCTGGCTGCTACCTCGCACTCAGGATGGATCTGTCTCAGGCCTCCCTAGCACCTTTCACACTGCCAAGTGGACCCTTAAGAAAGTTTGTTAAATGAGCACATAATGCTCCCAAAGTCACACAGCTGAGAAGGGGGACCAGATCTCAAGTGTGCTGACTCCCAGGCTGAATCAGGTGGGCTCTGAAACTAGACACACCTGGGTTTCCACTCTGCCCTGTCACTTTTCCTTTTTTTATTACCCTGTCACTTATTAACTGTATGACCTTGGACTAGTTTGTTCACCTCTCTGGGATTCAGGAACCTTCATTTAAAAGGGAGGAGAGGGGGTTCCTTTACATGCTTACAAGAGAAGATAATGGACATAAAATGTTCATTGCTCAGTAATGCAAGTTCTTACTACTATTAATGACAGCTCTCCTGAGCTGGTGAAGCCAGCATGGGAATTGACCATAGGTCAGGTCAAGGGAAGAAAAAAGATGTCACCAGGTCCACTGACTGAGTTCCGACTCCAGCTTTCCTTACTCCTAAGGATCAGACAGAGACTTGGTGATTCCCAGGCCCCTCCTAACCCTGGCTCTGCGTGGCCTGGGGAGGCCACTGTATTCCCACCTCCTTTGCTGTCGAGAGCTGGCCACCTCAGCAGGACAAACCCAAGCCTCTTTCTCCAGGTCATCTAACTCCTCAATCACCTTCAACAGTCTTTCTCTTCCAGGCAGCTTTCCTGGACTACCCAGGAATGAGGCCTGAAGAACCATCACCCAGGAAGCAGTGAGCACCCAAGGCACAAGAAGAAAAAGATAAACTGCATCTCACAAAGATATTGTGACATTTAATGTCTCCCTGTCTCATCGGCATCCGTGAGCTGTCACAGAGCCGATGTGGAGGCTTGAGGCCAGCATAAGATAGGACACATGTCTACAATCACACTGTGGGGGTGAAAACCCAGGTCAGAGGTGGGAATGCCAGAATTAGACCCTCCACTTCCCATTCTGAAAAGCTCCCAGCAGGGGGCTAGATTCCTCAAGGCTTCCTCCCCAAAAGCCACATCCCAACTAGCACAAATCTCAAATGTGCATCTGGTTCAGAGGGTATGACACTGGCAGGAATCCCATTACCCATGAGGACCCAAGATGTTCACCTAGTTCAGTGACTCCAAAACACTAGTCCTTTCATTTCCTCTGGTTGGCAACAACATGAGAAAAATGAAGATGGTGTCGATTTTCATAAACTCAAAATTACCAAATTTAAAGTAGTGATGGTCCTTTATTCTGGAATTGCATCCTTCCAACTTTTTCAGTGACAGTATAGTCTTCCTTTGTGAAACATTAGCAAAAGTAGCTGACAGGTGGTGGCTGTTTTTTTTAAATTAATGCCTGTTGTCAGCAAAACTACAACTTAATAACCCTGTATCAGTTCCCAACTTTCCCTCCTCACTGGGTTCATGAAATCAATGTCCAGGAAACACATGTACACCCTGCCCGAGAAGGTGACAAATTCCAACTGTCCCTTTTTTTCTTCCCCAAAATGTAGGAAAAAATTCCTGGTGTCTCACTCAAGACCCTTAGGGCCAGAAGTCTTTGCTGGGGTCCTGCCAGCAGCAGTTCAAATCCTCTTCCTGCCTCCAACAGTCGGTCACACCCCTGCTGTGGCTTAGATGCTGCCTCTTGAGACCTTTCCTAACTTGCTTAAGTCACCAAAATTAACACCCCTCCCATCCCAGGTTGGGGGGCAGGGATGCGCCACTTCCTAGTTCTGCACAAGGTCCTGAGAGAAAGGGCCTGTCCTCCCAGGGACGTTAGGAGGCCTGCGCTCAGGACACAGAGTTGGGAGGGGTCTTGAGGTCCCAGAGTTCAGCCGCACCCTGCCCCCATTGTAGAGATGAGGTAGTTGAGGCACAGAGAGGGGAGAAGACCAGCCCAAAGTCACGGAGACAACAGCAAGGCCAAGAACACTCCAGCGTTCCTTTGACTCCACCAGGGCCAGTCTCCCAACACCTGCAGGGTGGCTGTGAACACACACACTGCAGGCTGCCGCTTCCTTCCCGAGTCCCCATGCCACACTGCCAGGCTGTGCACCATAAACACTGCCCACCGATTACAATTCCTTTGTGTCCCAAGCAGGGGTCCCTCCCCTCTCCAAGCCAAGCAGGTCCAAGGATTGACCTGGGACCCTGACAACAAAGTCACGCCCGCTAAACCCCACTACCTCTAAATCCCGAATTTTAATAGTGAAGTCTCTGTCTTCTGCCCAACTTTCTAGAAGAGCCCAGGTGTGCAGGCCCCATCCCCATGCCCTTCAGTGGACACTAGTGCTTGACACCCAGACCCAGGGCCAACTCCAGTCCAACTCTCAGAAACTTAAGTGTGACCAGCTTCTCCAGCCAATGGCTCTTAGTGGCCTCAAAGGATACTCCTCTCCTAAGAGCCAAGCTTCCACTCAGTGGCAAATTCCCCACAGGCTCCTTGGTATAACTATATATAGCCTCTACTTTGTACCTCCAGTGACGGGGAGCTTAGTACTCAGCAGAACAAGTCATTCCAGTACCACTTGGCTGTATCTCTTCTTCCAGGAGACGATTCTTCAACTGCCTGACTGTCACTACCATACACCTGCACTTCCTGGGCAAGACAATCCAATTCCTCCTTCAAATTCATCTCACCTGATGTGGTACCCAGACGTTTCTCTGCAGGTTGACTTACCCTCTAAACTACAACTCACGAAAAACACCATCTCCTACATGTAGCCTCTGTACAGTGAGGATGTCACCTCCTTCATCCTGGGTAAAATGCTTTCATTAATGCAGCCTAAGATTCCTAAGTCACCTGCCACATCCACTAGTGACCCAGCCTGTAACTGGCCCAGTCTCCCTGCCACTGGCCCATCTCCCGAGGAGCTGCAGGCAAACGAGTCTTGGCTCCCTCAGTCCTCACAACCACCCTGGGAAATCTTACTTCCATTTTAAAGATGAGAACCTTGAGGCACAGAGAGGTTAAGTCATTTCCAGGAAGTCACAGCTTGTAAGCAGCAGAGCAGGAATTTGAACCAGGGCAGGGCACTTCTGGCCCCAGGGCGCATGCTCTGAATTACTGCCCTCTGCTATAGCTGTAGAGTTAATTTTTTTTGGAAGGGGGAGTCCAAGTACAAGAATTGACCTTGATCCCAATTACATTTCAGCTTGTTCTGTAGGAAGGAGGCTGCCACTCTGGGTCCTTTTCCGGCTACCCAGGCTTTTAGGTGCCCCATAAGGCCCCTGGGGTCTGCCCTTCCCCAGCGCCCGCCCTCCTCCCTCCCCTCCCCGCTCAGGTCTCAGGGTAAACCTGCCCCACCCCTCCCCAAGGGACCACCATCATCCTCTCACTCAGAAATCTCAGCAGGAGGAAGGCATTCAAACTTGCCCTGAGGGAGGGCCACAGGCTTCCTCCCAGGAGAGAACTCTAATCCATAGGCAGGCAGATACAGGTCAGATTTGAGAGGCTATTTTCCCTGAAGCCTGAGGTGTGCTTCTCTTTCAAGGACAGCCAAAGGCCAGGAGGCCCACAGAAACCCCATCACTTGGCCTAAACTCCTGGCTGAGGCCACCAGGACGCAGGAGGCTGCTGGGAGAGCTGGTGGCCAAGCGAGAGCCCAGCAGCAGTCCCACGGGAACCTACCGGAAGGGATAAAAAACGTGTAGCCCTGTTTCAGCTCAATTCTTTGGCATCGCTCCACGCGGTCTCCCAGGAAGATGTCGCTCTGTTTGCCTGACAGCACCCACTCCTCGTACAGTGCCAAATTGTGCAAGGTTGGAGGAATCAGCCAAAAGATCTTAGGAGGAAAAGGAAGCAATCCGTTAAAGACCAAGGCCAAAGTCTCTGATTTCTTCCAGGCTCTGTCCATAACCCGGGAGACAGCCCCACCTGCCTGGGAGCTGGGAGGAAGGGGAGGCCCCGTTCCCGAGACCCCTCCAGGACCCAGCCCCACGGGTCTCTGGGCTGGCAGGGAGGGCTGTGCTGCCCCTGCCTGCCTTTAGAGAACCTCCATTCCAGCTGAAACACCAGGGTGGGAAGACTTCCTGAACTGGGTGGGACATTCTTTCTCCTGAGCCATGGGTTTGTCTGGGAGGTGGGGGAAGGAGAGGAAGGGGAATTTCCTAAGTGGTATGATAAAAAGGCCCAATAAATAAACCCAGCTTGCACTCACTATGAAGAAGGGGGAAGAACATCTGGAACCAAGCAGGATGACTTCTTACCCAGAATTTCTTCCAACACATTTGGTTAGAACAAATGCACATGTGTTCTCAAGGAGCACCCACATCCACGCAGGGACCCCTACGTCCCCACGTGGACATACACACAGGGGCAGACATAGCAGGAGCAGCCTGAATGCACGCCCTACCTCCTTTCTCTGGGTGATGTCTGTCCCTGATGTGAAATGTTCTTGGAGGCAGCTGGAGATGGCAACTGGACTTTTAAGTTACAAGGTCCCAGTGCTGAAGCTGAAACTAGTCTGGGGAAATGAATGCTGGAGGTTCTTGGGCACTAAATCTGGAGTTTTAAGCTGGCCTAAGATTCTTAGAACATTGGACTGAGTGACCAGATGTGATGCAAAAGAGTTGACTTTGATCATTCCCTCCAGAAGAAAGACAGAGGGTGAGGAGGTGGCCCCAGGGGGACCAAGTGGCCCTGAAAGTACTCACAGGGCGGGGACGGGCTGGGGTGGGGGGGTGCTAGCTGGAGGTCAGAAGGGAAAGGTGAGCAAGCCCTTCCACCCACAAACAGCCAGGGATGTACAGAGATTTGAAGAGACTCAGCTCAACTCACCTTCCCACCCCGGAAAACATGGTACCAAACGGAAGTGCCTCCAAAGTCGATGTGGAAGTCAGTGAAACAACCTTTCACGCTCATCAGACAGTACCTGCAGCACAGACGCAGGGAAGCAGAAAAAACAATTCAATGCCTGAATCACAGGAGGTGAGCAAACAGCTTCAGAGACGCTTGACCTGCTGCCCTTTTATAAATGCTGACACTGGGGAATTTTCTTCTTTTTTTTTAAACCCAAATCTAATCGGAGTTCCCCATGGGGGAAGCCCCTGTGATCAGGTGACAAATCTCAATCATTGGCTACCTGCCCCCAAGGCTGGGGGAGGCATTTTTGTTTTCAGGTTCCCGCAAGAGCTGGCAACCCACAGGCTACTTGGTTCCACGGTTTCTACTCTTGCCCTGCCCCCACCTCCCACCCAAGAAAAAGGTTTCCTTTCTGTTCCTTCCAGCTCGTATACCTGCAGTTCTCTCAAGCTGCCAGGCCCCTCTGCAGCAGCGGGACCCCCTGGAATTCAGTTGTAAACCACCTGCATAGCTTGCCAATTACCAGTTCCCATTCATCTCCTCATTCATTCAACAATCATTTACTGAGCACCAACCAGTGGTCCAGCCCAGAGCGAGGCATTGCACTTAGAGAAATGCATAAAAATGCATAAGACCCCTGTCCTCAAGGGTGAAATGCTCTCAATGGAGCACTGCACTGGAAAAGTTAAATGGCAAGACAAACTGCAACTGCTTACAAAATAAGCAGTGCAGCTGAAAGTACAGGGGTACCAGCCATAAAAGACCACAGTGTATGATTCCATGTATGGAAGGTCCAGACTAGGTCCATATGCAGAGGCACAGCAGGTCAGGGGTGGCCAGGGGCTTGGCAGAGTTTGGGAGGAAATGGGTAGTGACCGCTAGTGGTGACAGGATTTCATCGTGGGGTGACAAAAATGTTCCAAAATTGATCGCAGTTGCACAACTCCGTAAACATACTAAAAAACATGGAATTGTACACTTTAAATGGGTGATGGTATGTGAATTACATCTCAATAAAGCTGCTTAAAAAAAGTAAAGCGATAAAGAGAAGATCCTGGGAGTGGGGTGATGGACGGGCAGAGAGGGAGGGAAAGAGAGGAGGAGGGAGAGCCTGGCCCTTAGAGGCTTGGACAGAGGGAGTGCGTTTGGGAGAAGGAACCTGCCAGCAGCTCCCCTTCTGAGCTCTTGCAACTGCCAGACAACCCACCCTTCCTTACAAGTCTCCTCCCTCCTTCCTCTACATGCTGCCCTGGGGGTGGGCAGAGCTGAGGAGAAGGAGGGACGGGAAGGCTGCCAGGTCCAGGCCTGGCAGTGCCAGAGCCCCTTCCCTCCCACCCACCCCTTCCCACAAGAGCCACCGGCGATACGGCTGGGGCAGCCTCCCCACGGCTCATGCTCACGCACCTTGGCACCTCCAGAGGCCCGCGCACACACACGCTTACCCCACTGACCTCTTTTCCCCGCTGTACTTTGCTTTTCCATGGTTTGGGGAAGAGGGGAGGAATGGGGCAGGGACAGGCAGGGAGGAGCCAGCTGCCCGAGAGGAGATAATGGGGAGAGGAGATAATGGGGGGCGTAGGGGCTGAGCTGGTTAGGAGGCTGGAGGGCTCCAGGCGCCCCCTCCCTCTGGCTGCCTTTTGCACCTCACATTCAGGTGGACCCGGGGCTCGGCAGTATGCAGGCGGCGTGCCCCGCGTCCCTCCTCCGGATAGGCTGGAAGGAGCCTTAACCATGTGTCTGCAGGAGGCTGACAAATCAGAAGGCCTTCCCGCACATCAGAGCCCCGCTGCCTAGCAACCCCATCGGAGGGGTGTAGTTGACAGAACAGGACGCAGCCCTGTCACGAAGACAGGCGCGGGCTGCGGTGCTGGCGCTGGGGTTGTTAAAGTCCCAGCTCCGGCTCCAGCTCTGGCTCCACACCCTCCCACCTCCTCCCCGCCCGCCGGGCCAGGTCCCCACTCTGAAAGCCTGGGTGATCCCCTTCTCCCTAAGCAACTGGAGGGAGAGCAGGGTGCTAAAGCCCTAAGCCACCCCACCCCCACGGACCACACCGGCCTCTTCTCTCCAAGCACTGCTTCAAAATATTAGTCTTCATTTTCCTAAAACCACCTCTTCCTCTTGGTTTTGTTCTTTCCTTTTTTTAATCTAACCTTGGTTTCCACCCTCCTCCAGGCCTCAGCAGAACAGAGACTAGGGAAAACAATTTCAGTGTCTGTGGGGTGGAGCAAGGAGATGTGCTTCCTTCGGTGTGCAGCCGGATACCCACCCAGGTGCCCAAAGCAGACAGGAGAGCAGCTAGATCTTGGGCTCCAGGACGCAAAGCCTGCCTGGCCAATCATCCACCTCCAACCTGCCAACCTCCTGCCCCGGCCCCAACCTCCCCAGCACGTGTGGAAAGGAATCCCTGCGAGCTGCGGCTGCTGTGTGCCAGGGAAAGTTCTCCAAGTTGAGCTTGTGTCTGATCTGCCCCCCTCCCAGTAACCCTCCAGCATCCTCTGAGGCCCCTCTGAGCTTGGGGGCCCACTTCCAGACTAGCCTCTCCAGGAGAGGCCCCTCCTCCCATATCCCTCGTTTCCTGGCCGCCAGGCCTGGGCTGCCCCTCCCGCCAGGCAATTGCATGCTTTAGGGCGGCCAGGGCACCCGGACAGGGCGGCTTTTGTCCCGGCCCTTGTAGCCGTCATCCCGCTCGCCTGCCCCGCGCTTGTTCTGGGTCTCCCCCCTTACTCCTGCTTCTCGCTCGCTCTGGCGTGACGCCTTTGCACTGACCTCTAACAGCTTCCTCTTCCAAAGCACACCGCAGTCACATGGGCACCCCGGCTCGGTGCCACCGCCGCTAAGCTCTGGCCGGCAGGGTTTCCGCCTCGGCCGCCCCCTGCCCGGAAAGCCGCGCCCCTCGACAACCCCCACCCACGGCCCGGATGGCTTCTGTGTAGGACACCCTCCAAGTTGGCGGCTAAAAATCGGAGGCCCCCGAGCTCAGCCTCTGGGGGAGAGGTTCCCGCCTCCCAAGGCCGGCGCTGGCTAGGGAGGAGCGTGGTAGGAGGGGGCGCTGCACCTGCAGCACCAACTTTAGGTCGCTGCCTGGGGTCCGGGAGGCGGGGCGGCCCCACCCCGCCTTTTTCCCTCCAACTTAGCAAAACTCCCCTGGCAGCCCAAGCGGTGTCCCCTCGGGCAAAGGGCTGGCGGAGGGGTCGGGGAGGGGTGGAACCTAGAAAGCTGGCACCGGATGATGGGGCTGGAGGCGCCGAGCGCGCGTGCACACACACTACACACTTACACGCAGTCCCCAGGAGACACAAAGAGCAGCTCCGCGACGCCGGCCACGCTGGCCGTGCAGCCCGCGGGCGGGAGGTGACCCACACCCCGCCCTGGTGCGCCCCGAAGGAGTGGGGGCTCCCGGGCCCGCGGGGAGCAGCGCAGGGACGCCCGCCCTGCCCCGCCCGGCGCGCCCGCGGTTACCCTCGGTGGCAGCGGTGGCTCGGAGCCCGGGCGTCCCCTTTGGCGGCGGAGGCTCGACGCGCGCCTGGCCCCGGCGACCAGAGCCGAGACCCTCCACGGCGCTGCCAGGCCCCGGTCGAGGACCGTGGAGCCCTCGCTCGCTTCCTTCCTTTCTCAGAGAGCCGGGTGCAGCCTGCGCTCATCCCCGCGTTGAAACTGAACACCCGCGCGGCGCGGCGGCCGCCAGGGAAGGCGGAGGGAGGCCGCAGAGGCGACAGGGAAGTGCGCCCGACCAGCGGCAGGGGACACCGCCGCCGCCCGCGGCCGCCCTCTGGCCCTGGCTGGGTGGGGGCACGAGGGTAGCTTGCCCACCTCCGTTCTACTGGCAGGTGCTCAGGGACTCCCTCACACCCGTTTTCAAGGAGTGTGGATGCCATCCTGCTGCTGGAGGTGACGACCCAGCAAAGCCACCTTCCTTAAATGTGCCCATCGGAGCAAAGCTAGAGAAAGGACCAGTGCCAGGAGTTGGAGGGCTTGTCAGATGCCGAGTATGGCAGCCTAGACACCAGGGATGCGCCTCTGGCCCTAAAACAAGCTAGCTGTGTGACCTTGGACAACTACTTCCTCTCTCTCAGCGGTTTCCTTGTCTGGAGGGCAGGGAGGTGACCTGAAGTTCAACTCTGGAAGCTAAGATGTTCTTTTGGTGCCTCTTCCCCTACCTACCCCCTTAGTAGCTGTGTAACCTCAGATCATAGAACTATTACAGGAATTCACTGAGACAGGTACTTTGATTACTTAATCCAATCTCCACGGCAACAGTATGAGGTCATCCCCAGGACTGTACCCATGTTACAGCTGAGAAAGCAGAGGCTCAGAGGTAGGGACTCACTCTGGTCACTACCCTAGTAGGGGGCTGCTTATCCAAGCAGCCTGTCTCAGAGCTTCTCAGCCCTCCTCTCCAGGTCTAGCTGGCAAATCCCAAGATTCTCAAGAAGCAAAGTCTGCAGTTTACTGCCAAACCTCAACCACTGACTTCCAGCTAAAAGCGTTTGGTCCAGCTCGAATCAGAAGTCCCACCCTCTGGGGCACACTCATCAGGACCACAGCCCTCCTCCTGTCTCACCCTTCCCCCAAATCACAAGAGGTGAAGGAGATGGCAGTATAGCCTCCCAGGGGCAGAAATCAAGATTCTCCACTCTTTGGCCAAGTCCTGGGCCACCCACCATTATTAATTAATAGGTCCCAATTATCAAGTGCTCATAATAATAGCTGCTTACATGCACAATACCATTTCACTCATAAAACAACCCAATAATCCCCATTTTAGGGAAGTGCACATTAAGCCATTTCTGGGTGGTCAACGCCCTGGGCCAAGGTATTGCTTCCTGGTGTCATTTATGGGATGGCGCACCCATCAGTACCTCCCTCATGGCCTGCTGTGGGGTTAAACTCTGAACTCTTGGAACTGGTTGAATTTTTTTACCATATGTATGTTTTGCCTATTTAAAAGAAACAATAATAATTTGAGCACCAGTCATTGCGTTAAATGAGCTGAGAGGAGAAGGCCCTGACAATTGGATTAGGCTAGGCTGTCCGAACGGGAGACATATTATTACTTTTTCAGTCACAAAT